CTACATGTCTATTTATCCTTATATGGGTAGTTTTATTACATAGTTAGCTGTTGAATATCTACTAAAATAGTGCAATGAGTAATTGTTTATGAACAGATTGCCTTGGGATGGGAACGTTTGTGTGAATCCAACTTTATTTTTAATCAATAAGAATGCTATTCCGGCTAGTGTTAGGTTGGCATGGCGGTTTTCTTTACCACTTTTTACAATAAGTATATTTAAAGCTATAAAATTATTAAAACTTCTACCTTTCCTTCAGACGGTTGGATGACCAGCCTATTGTCATTGCGAAAACCAGCTTCCCGATGAATGATTCTTCTATCACATTCACCATTATTATGCAAATTTGATATTTCTGATCTGGTTATGTGAGGGGGGAGAGTTGTCTTGTTTTGCTACTTAACAAGAAAAATATTGAATTTTCACATGCTATTGATACTTGAGTAATTCTAAATGTTACAGATAAACTGCACCTATCTCATCAGGATAGAAATATTTGCAGCAACCCATGAGATGAGATTAATTTGTGTTTTGCTCCTTGGGCACTTATCAATTATTCCCATCCCTACTGCCATTATGTTTTATGCAATATAACTGATTCTAGCTTATTTTATTGTGTACCAAAATACGGATTTTCTTAAGTAGGGTAGCACTAACCAGATACTTCTGTCACAACTTTTCTGCAACCTCGTTTCCATTTGTTTTAAGAACAGCAAATAAATTCTATAGCCTAAAGACCGGTTAGTCACCTTGGAAGAGTTCATGAGAGCTACAGAGAAAAGAGAGTTTTTGGAACCAGAAAGCTGGGAGGTACTAATGACACTTTTGAACTAAGACTGATCGTAGTGATCAGCAAATGGCCCAACTGTTTTGAACTTTTAACCATCTCTCTAATTCTTCTTTTGTATTTATATGTCATTATTAACGACATTATAAAAATAAAATCCGAACAGTGAGTCTGAGGACACTGTGCATAATTCTCTCTGTGGAGCAACTTCATTGTTTGAAACCGAATGAGCATGCCCATTATGGCCACAGAATTTGAGCAAAGGAGTATCTTAAAGTTGGAAGCAAGAGAGAATTGTTTCACCTGTCTTTCCCTACAACATGTATACATTTTATCCCAAACCTGTCTGTGATTAAAAAATATTATATAGTTGTAATGCTGCTATGTCTGGAAATTTCTCTCCTTACAGTAATAGTCCATAGTTGCAAGGGAACCTTAAGAGCTTAAGAGCTTCTATTTTACTTCAGGGTACTCAAGGGAAATCATGGGGATATGAAAACTATGTATGTGGATAACCATCCATTAAAAAAAACCCAGTCCATATATTTTCTGGACTCAGCTTCATCCAAGGAAAAAGCCAAGAATAGTAGGCATAGTTCATCTTTGTTATTGCTGTGAGGAAGTGCAATCTGTTTAAGAAGCAGCTCAGAAGATGCTCAGACATAGCATCTTCTATTGGCAGGTGGTCTCTGTTGGGATTTTCTCTGTGATGTGGTAGACTTCAGTTCTTCTCCCTTTAATGAGGAGGAGGTTGATTGCAATTTGCTTTTTAAATTTACTCCAAAGGCAAATTGCTTCCAGGAATAGGGAAATGTGAAGCTGATGGAACAGTAAGGGCAATGTTGAGAAATTGTAGTCCTGCCTTTACTTGGGAGGAACGTTGGAGTGCTCCAAAAGCACAATTTCTCCTTATTCAAATGTAAGCAATCATCAAATATCTTAAATCTTGGGCACCGATATAGATATAGGTGAGTCTGAATTTTTCCCATTGAGCTTTCTTTTAAGGAGCTAAGATGTGTTGTTCTTGTTGTTTTTGAGACTCTGGACCAGCAGCAGGTCTTCACTGAAGAAGATCTGAAGGATTTTGAAAGTCACATTTTCCAGAAAGAAGATGAATTGCAAAAGCAGGCATTAGAACTTCAGAAAAAGAGGGAAGAGCTACAACAGCAACAAGACTTCCTTCAGGCTCAGAAACAGGAACTTGAAATGGTACAACTAGTTGCAAGCTTTCCTTTGCTTGTTTGGAAGCTAATTCATTTTGCTTTCAATAAGAAAGACATGAAGCATCACAATTATGCGGCGATGTATAGTGCCTATATAGGTAGTCCTCAATTTATGACCACAACTGAACCCAAAGCTGAGCTAGAAATTTGTTAAGTGAGTTTTGCCCCATCTTACGACTTTTCTTGCCATGTTTGTTAAGTGAATCACTGCAGTTAGTAAGCTAGTCACACAGTTGTTAAGTGAATCTAGCTTCCCCATTGACATGGCTTTATCAGAAGGTTGCAAAAGGGGATCACATGATCCCGGGACACTGCAACCTTCATTAAATATGAAAATTTGGATCATGTGACCATGGGGACACTGCAATGGTCACGTGAAAAATGATCATAAGTCACTTTTTTCAGTGCTGTTGTAACTTTGAATGATCACTAAATGAACTAAGTCGAGGATTACCTGCACTGCCTACATGGGATGGGCTCACTAGTGACAAGCATCCCCATACTGGAGAGACAGGGCCAGCTCTATTGATGGGCAAAGCGAATGTCAGATCCTTGGCAGTAACTTTATCTAAAGCAGAGGTGGGGAACGATGTCCCCTTTATGACTTGTGGACTTCAGCTCCCAGAATCCATGAGCTAGCCATGCTGGCTGAGGAATCCTGGGAATTGAAGTCCACAAGTCATAAAGCGGCCATCATTCCCCACCTCTGACCTAAAGCAAGAGTCGTCTTTAAAAAAATGTATTTAAAACGAAGCTGAACAACAGATTGTAGAAATTTCTACAACTGGATTACTTTTGTTTTAGAATCTTTTACGTTGTAGGACATAAACTTCCCCCATGTTTAGTGCCCTTTCTCTGAACTGTCTGTCTGTTAACCAGTTCACTAAAGGATGGGCAGTTGTCTGTCAGTGTTTTACGACCACCTAAATCCTTAGGCTGTGCTAGGTGTTATGGAAAGACTGCAGAAGGTTAATTAGTTTAGTATGTTGTTATTTTGTCCCTTCTGGTACTTTTTGCTTTATTTGCCAAAATAATGTGGCTGGTTTTGAGCACTTGAGTTCAGGAAAGAGGTGTCCTCTTGTAACTCTGTGATATGTTTCAGTTGTAAGTTCCTGCTTGGTTCATCAAAATTTCAGATTCCGTCTTCTTTTAACAGAAGAATCTGGCTTAGCATGGCAAGAAAGACCAGAAAGATAAATGCCAGTTTATTATAAGAAATGAAAATTTTGAGACCTTGATTTAAATGTTCTCCATCTTGTTACATGTAAATTCACTGTTTTACAGGCTGTTAAACAAATGGAACAGAAGAAGTTACAGCAAGGACATCCCCCTTCAGGTCCAGGTGGAGAACTGAAATTTCAGCCATGTAAGTAACTTTGTCTTCCTCCTGCTCTGTTCTTCTTCCATTGGTTTCCTTTTACTTGCCTGCCTAGTAAAAACAAGGCAATAAAATTATCTGCCGTTCTTTTACCACAAGAGTATACAGGCATTCCTCCACCGATGACTATAATGCAGGGGTCTTCAAACTTGGCCCTTTTATGACTTGTGGACTTCAATTCCCAGAATTCCTCAGCCAGGCACGCAGCAGGCTGAGGAATTCTGGGAGTTGAAGTCCACAAGTCACAAAAGGGCCAAGTTTGAAGACCCCTGCTATAATGGAACCTGGCCACTACAGTCAGAAATCATGACGGCCATTAAGTGAAACGCCAATGTGACCTTACTTAATGACCTCCCCATCCCTGCCTTCCCCAATGTGGTCATTAAGAGAAGCATGTGCTGGCACAGGGCCCCTGGGAGACCTAAAGCAGGCCCTGGCCTTGGCTTCCCCCACAGCCTGAGCACTTGTGCTTTGCTTTCTACCCTTAGCATCCCTGAAGGCCTTGGACCCGCTTCCTGCCAGAACCCCTCATGTTCCTCCCCCCCCCACCAATTACTTAGTTACTGTGGGATTGCAAAATCCCGGGGTCCCACTCCCTGCAGGACGGTGGTGACGTACGTCAGCCGAAACCAACGGACCTCGCTTCAGGTTAGAAAACACACGGACAACATGCTTCTTCAGGTGAGATGGCAGGCGAGATCCCGAAGGATCTCCGTGCCTCTCTTTTATTGGTACATTAGCGTCATAAAGGGGGGTTGTACAAAAAAACAATAGGGGGATGGCTCTTCATTGCCATATATGAAGTACACAAAGAACAGGAAACTTGAAATTAGGAGGTATTCATTCTTTGAGGTAGGCTTTTCAGGAGAAATGAAACTTAAGTCAGGAAATGAAACCTAAGGCAGGCTTCAGGCTTTTCAGGAGAAACGAAACCTGAGTTAAGGAACCAAATGGATGCAACATCTCCACTGTTTTTCTTTTTTAAGAAATCTCTGCTCCCACTAGTGGCCCCCTTCTACCTCCTCCGAGGCAGGAGGGGGTACTTCCATGAGAATGCGAGATTCCTGTTTGGAGGCAAGGTAAGTAATGGTGGATTCTTCATCCGACGATTCC